ATAAACACAATTGAGCTCTTATTAAATTGCTTGCAAGTATTTAGGAAATTCAGATAATTGAAAATAAAATAGCATAAGCTATTTCTTACTATTTATTAATGAATTTATGAGCATTTAGAGAAGAAAAAAAATGTGTAAGAAAATATTTTTCCTTACGATCAATATTAGAGGGATTTTGTCTTATACACATTCCTCTATTCCTTGATAAGCACGTCTTTTGCTGATATCCTATTGGTTCGCTCCGTTGGCGCGAACAGAAATACGAGATTACGCTCGTTGGTCGCATTTTATTGTGTTCTGTCCAACACGATCGTCTGCAAAAAAGTCAGAAAAAAAGAAAGAAAAAATAAAATCTTACGACTGAGGCTACGATTAAATTGCAGAGCGAGCCTTTGGTTTTTCTTTTCATTCCTATTTTTATTTTTATGTCAGCTTCGGTTATAGTTCCGATGAAGGAAAAAAAAGAAGAATAAAAATGCGCAAAGATTGAATGACTAAAATTTTCTTCTTTTTTTCTTTATTTTATTAGATCGATTTTTTTTTCCAACCTAACATTTTATGTTTCGTGACTTTTGATAAAGGCCAAACCGTAAAAGATGTAGGAAAAAATTACGTCTCATTTAATGTTATCAAATCTTTTACGACTGCTTTTAGGGAAACGGGACTTCCAGAAATGAGAAATTTGAGTTAGCGCGTCAAATGATGTCTTTCATTTCGAAATTTTGATTAGTGATGCATGCTTACACTTTTTATGTTTTATTTTCAATTAGGAAAATGTTTTTATTTTTATTTCTAATGCAATCAGATATCAAATGCCATGCTGAATGAAAATTTTTATAAAAATGCTTAGGTGAAAGATGTTTTACAACTAAGGAGCGGAGTTAGTGTTGTTGCTTTATTTAAACTAAAACAGGAAAAATATTCAACTAAATCAACAAAAACTGTAAAAGAGGACGAAGAAAGTTTAATAACTTTTCGAAATTTTTTACCTTTAAAAAGACGCTAAATCTAAAAAATTCTATGGTTTTCCATTATCTATATTTAAACCATATATCACAATAATGTTCCCAACAGACTTAATTCACTTTCATTTTTCATTCATTTTTCATTCTTAATTAATTTTTCATTCATTTTTCACTCGTTTTTTATTCATTTTTCACTCTTAAACAAGTTATTCTTTAAACTATCAAATAAACTCCCATGTATTTAATTTAATTTAATTACAATCTATTTTATTTTCAAAACAAGTTTCCCACACCCAGAAAAACATATTAAAAACTACCAGAATATGGTAAAATTTATCGCGTTTCTTGCACCAAAAATTGCTTTGATTATAACTTTTGGTGAACTTAACAAGAAAATATGATTTTTTTACTTAACTGATTGATGGGGGGAAATTTGGTAATTTTATCATGATACCTTAAAACATGACATAAAAACCATTTATTTGGTTAAATTTACTTTTCGGTTTTGTATTTTTACTAAATGTGTGGTAATAAGGTAAAGGACTATGATTTTGAAGACCAGAATATACGGTAAACCGTTATCACATGAGCGGAAAAATTACTAAATGGTTTAAATACCGTGCATTTTAGTTTTATTAACTAATTTTAACCTTTTTTTTTAACCAGAAATGTTGTTACCATACAGTATGGAAATTTTGCAAGAATTTTTTTCTCCATGCAAATAGTCGATAGAGTTTGAGAATAATGAAAAATCTTATGAATTCCGCTGCACAGAACTCTTGGTGGGTACTCTAAATTCTTTCATCTTTTAAAATGTCAGCAATCATTTGACTATCGACTTCTCGAACAATCCAGATCATAGTTTCAGGGTGACGTCATTATTTTTTACTTAATAATAATTCATTCATCAATATTGTAATTAATTCCATCTGAAAAACAAACTGTGTACAGATATTTTAATATACAATAATCTCAAATAGTAAAGTATAAATAAAGTTCAAAGCGTGATTTTTGTTGTAAACTTCGGGAATATTCTTTCTGGATCTGATTTTACCATTCTGCATTAAATACACCAATCCAATTTTCAATTTCTAAATATATAAGTTTACTTAGAAAGTGTACCTAACAGCTTTTGAGTAAAAAGAAAATACGAGCATCATACATGGTAGTATGAAAGGGTACTCCATTCTCGAAGAAGAATGAGTTGGAACTCTATGAATCCTATGGTAGACCATACAATTTTTACTGCATGAATACATTTCTTTGCTTTACTATACAATGGAGTTTGGAAGTATTTCTATTATGCATTCAAAGATCTGTGGCCAATATTGTATTAAAAATTTTACTCAACTGCTGTTTATGCATCATGCCAGATATTTATTGTATATTAATGGCTTTCACATGAATCAATTTAAAAAGAAAATAATGGCGTAAGATTTGTATTTCGAAAATATATTTAAAGAAAAGAATGAATTAAAAAAGGAATTAATTTAAAAAAGGATTAAATAAAAACTAATTTTGTATTTTTTGCATTCTCTGACTTTTTCATAAATAGAAAAAAAAAACAAAAAAAACCTTATATTAGCAGACGCTTCGTAAAACGAGTTCATTTATATCCTTCGCAGGAAGAAATAAAACTTTTCTATATTTTCTTTTTCGAGAAAAAAAATTTCCGATTTTTCTGTTTTAAAAAACTTTTACAATTTAAAAAAAAATTTCCCCCAAAAAATATTTTAGTAATAAAAAAATATTTTTTTCGACATGAAAGAAAATTGCCCGAAATATTACTTTTCTGTATGAATAAAAAAAATTACATTTTAGTACATACATTAACTTTCAAAAAACTTTTCTTGAAGAAAAATTCTTTTAATTAAAAAAATTTTTTTAAAATTTTTTTTTTAATTTTTTCCTTTTTTGTAAAAAAAGAAATTCTTATATGCACAAGAAAACTTTTACTTTAAAAAAATATTATCTTCTTTAGTTTTAAGAAACACTATCTGAAGAAATATTTTTTATGTAAATAGAACTTTTCTCATCCGTAAAAAACAGTTTCAAAATTTTTCTACGAAATTACATGAAGAAGAAACTGAACTTTGAATGCGACAACAATAATTTGCTGTTCGAATATTTATTTTTAGAGCTTTAATCACGCATTTCTGCAATCGAATAGAGCAAATTTTTTTTTAACAATTCTATTTACTCTATATAATTTTAAGTGGCATCGAAATATATTGATAAATTGAACATAAAATATATATTTTTTTACATGAGCTGATTTTATGTTTCTTAAAAATTTGTTTATACGATTCAAAATATTCTTTTCAGGCATCTTCATAAATAATTTCTCTTCTAGTATTTCAAAGGACAGATTTTTTCCACAATCTGTTACATATTTTTGGCTTTTTCTTCGAAACCGAGCTGGAATTCCAGTTAAAAATTTTCTTCCAAGTCCACAGTTTCCTTTTTTATCTTTGAAGAGTCTCTTCTAGCTAGTTTGATCACTGGATTCTTTATGTTTGGAATTTCTATCTGATTCTTATTAAATTCTGTTATTTAAAAATGTGTATATTCCTGCAACTTTTGCAAATACAGAATTGCTTTCCTGATCTGTTGTTATCTTGTTCTGATTTGTGAAATCCACTTTCTGAAAGATATTTTTCGTCAGTTGATGTAATTTTGATAAATGATTTGTTACTTCGGATCTTTCTTTATCTTTATTCATTTGGACTTGCATTAAATAATTTTAAAATTTGGAGTAAGTATGCATTTGAATTTGGGAAAAGAACTGAGATCTGTTATGATTTTAAACCTATCTCACTTAAATATTTTTAAGACGGAGAAAAATTTCCTTCTGTTCCGTTTGGGTTAAAAAAACACATGAAAAAATATTTTTAAGGCTTATTTTTTATCTGCAATCCCTTCCATTATTTTCGTTAATGAACTAACTCCAAATTCTACAGGTATGATTTTTCTATTTTTTTTTCATGTAAAAAATAATAATTGAAAAATAAAATAAGATTTAATTTCGTTTTACAGAACAAAACAACCTCGAAAAGAAATTTTTCTATAATAATAAGGCAAAGAATTTTTTTTTACCACAAAAAAGCACAAAAATTACAATGAAAGAAGGTAATTGGCAGACAATGGTGTTGCCGATAAAAAAATATACCTAAAATTAATTTTCCGATGCAAGAAAGGCATTTTAAAAAAAAAAAACTATTTTTCAATTGGATTCCTGCTTGTGACGTCACGCGTGGGTAAATTGTAGCTTCTTATGATGGCATGATTTAGTAACAAATCAAGTTTGACAAACACGCGTGACGTAGCATGCAGGTATCTAATCCCTAAATTGATTCAGCGTGATAAGCCAAGCCTACAATAGCTATAACGTTAATGCGCCATGCACAACCATGTGATTTTAGCGGTCTTCTTCTCGAGTTGCAGTTGCTCAATTACTTTTATCGTATCGTTTGATTGGTCGAATCAAATTTTTTTCTGTTTGTTGTTAACAACACATTTAAAATTGTACAAAATACATTTCATTAAAGCAATTGTTTTTTTTAACTACAATAGTCTTCCCTCGCACCTATCTTCATTAATGTTTTTAAACCAAACTGTTTAGATATCAAATAAATTTAATGCATAATATTTTATATTATACATTGATGCATAATATTAAAAATTAAAATAATAATGAGTTAATGTGTATAATATTAATATTATACATAATATATATTATAAATGAATGTATAATATGTATTATGTATAATATTAATAATATTATTAATGTATAATATTAATAATTAAAATTTATAGTATTTTTATCAGAATACATCAATTATGTATGCCTTAGTTTTAAATTAAGATATATTTATTCAAGAAGAAAAAAAATTAATAAAAGTTTTCATATCTTCCCGAAAATACTTAAAATACGCTTACAAATCCTTTTTAAAACTTTGGTAAAAGTTTATCTTCAGTTACAGATGTATTTTATTTTAGAGTTCACTTAATTAAGATGAGTTTTCTTTCTTGTAGCCCAACATCCACCTCGGATAACGGAGCATCCATCAGATGTCCTGGTGCCAAAACATGAGCCCGCCACCCTTAATTGTAAAGCTGAAGGAAAACCAGAGCCAAGCATCGAGTGGTTCCATGATGGTAATAAAGTGCGGAACAATGCCAACAGAATGGTCTTGCCAAGTGGATCACTCTTTTTCCTGCACGTACTTCATACCAAAAGAGAGCAAGATACTGGTACATATTGGTGTCTGGCAACAAATGATTTGGGAAAAGCTCGCAGTAGAAATGCTACGCTTGAAGTTGCTGGTAAGATAGCTTGCTATTATACTTCACTGTGATGATTATACATAAAAATATGTGTATTTTAAATATTACATTTAAAGAAATCCCTTCAGTGGTCTCTTGGTATGCTCACATGATATCAGCACCCGTGACACATTGACTCTGATGATAATTTGATGCTTTTAGCTGTTCTATCTAAGATCCTTGGGCAGCATTTTTCTGTATATTTGGATTACCCTCATAGACTCGCCGCTTCGTGGGTCCCTATTGATGATACTTAGAGATTAAACAAAATAAGTTCTCAAATATTCAAATATTTCAAAGGCCTGTTGTTACACACTGTAAAAAATTCCTGATAAAATTGCTGCAAAAAAGTACTGGCAGTCAGGATGTTTTTTACCGTAACATTTTACGGGGGGTAAATCTGATATACCGTAATTTTCATATTACTTATTTTATTTTATTTTATTTTATTTTATTTTATTTTATTTTATTTTATTTTATTTTATAACCGTCGTTGAATAGCCGACCCAATTTTCTTGGATTACGACTACTAATGTTCAACTCCGTAGCCTTGCAATTTTGAACCCAATCCAGAAGACAAGGGAACTCCTGGATCAAGTATTGGGAGAAATTTGCCTTCGTGGAGGACTTTTTGATGGAACTAATACACATTTGCGTCACATGGAGAGGAAAACCTCCCACGGTTAGCTTGATGGCAAGGGGACTTTAACCCGTGATCTGTCTATCACTGAGGATATGTTTACGTCAGCACTGTGGTAGGTGCAAGCTGGATGAGCAATTCGTATCGACCAGCTATCTCTGGGATTCGAAACCGATTCACCTCATTGGAAAGCGAATGCTCTATCCTCTCAGCCAGCACTGCCTTATAATATTTATTGAAAGACTGTAATTAAATATATATTTCTGTAAAAAATATGGTTTAAAATTTTATGGTGAAAATGAATTTTACGGTAAAACATTCTGGCACGCAAAATGCCTGTACTTTTTACCGTAATTTTATCAGGCATTTTTACGATGCATTCTCACAAACTTTCTAGTTCGCAGGTCCGTGTTGACCTTAATGGTTTTGACATCCCTGCACTGAATGCTTACTTCAGCCACAAAAACTTTTCGAGTTGCATTATTTTATATGTGCTCTATAAAGAGTAAGTATTTCTTTCCTCGAATTATGATCGTAAAATTCGAAATCAGAAATGAAAGAATTACTATGTGAAAATTATGTGACAAGTGAAGACTAAAATTTTTTTACCTCCGAAGTGATTTTATATAATTGCCAAATTAAATGTTTGAATTATTTTGAATTTTTACCATAATATAGCTTCCTATTTATTTTCATTTTTGAAAGCAGAAATTTTGGAAATAGTTTTAGTTGTCACAATCGATAAATAGATCGCTAATAGGTCCGAAATAAATAATAGTTGAATTTGAAAACTTTATGTATTTGAAATTGATACAGCATATACTCATTTCTCTTGAAGCAGTCTTGAAAAAGATGTGAAGGGAGAAATGTGTGAGAGAGACGTTCGTTGGCTACCGGCAGGTTACGAACCAAGAGCCTTCCGGATCGCAGTAGGATGCCTTAACCACCGTGAACCATGGTACACCATGAACCAGATAAAGTTAGAAAGCTTTATATAGTTGCCACCACAATTATACATCATGGCATAGTAGTTTCCAATTTCAATGGTACTAAGGATTACAATTTGGAAAATATGAATCCAATAGCTCTTCACTATATCTTAAAAACTTTTAAGAAAATGGAATATATAAAGCTTCTTTATTCTTTCGGGATTGAGATGTGCAACTATGGTGGTTAGAGCATCTTACTACCAACCGAGGTGTCCACGGGTTTTTAATTGATGTCTCTCTTATACATTTCCCTCTTGAGAGACTATGTATTTTGCTCAAAACTCGGTGCATTCTATTTCAATTTTGGGGTTTTCAAATTCAACTATTAATTCTTTCCGAGCTAATTCGACACATTTTTGCTCAATTTTGAGAAACACTTTTTTAAAATGACTAGGAATAATAATAATAATAATAATTAAATAAATAAAAGCGCCAGTTTTTTACTGAATCGTAAAAGCAAACAATAGCTCAATTTTATCTTAATATTCGTGAGAATAAAACAAAACTATGTTTTAATTACTGTACCATTTCATAAAATGAAAGCTTAAAATGTTTTATCAGTAATATATATTTAGAAAATGAAGTAAGTTAGTTCCAAAGGCAAATTATCCAAACCATCAAAGTACAATAGATATTGCCAATCATTTTTTCACGTGAATTCAGAAAATTCTTTTAAGAATAAGCAAATTAACTGCATTCTAGACTTTTTCATCAAAGCATCTTTGAATTAAATTTTTCTACTTTATTTGTGTTCATATCCGTTTCCTCTAACACACTATCATTAAATCTGAAAAATCAAAGAAAAAAAACTGTGTACTTCTAATAAGCTCATTTTTAAGGAGACAAATTTCCTCCTTTTTTATTTGCTCAAGTCTATTCAAGATAAGAAAACCTAAGTAATTATTTATAGTGATACGAAAAAAGTATTTTAAGAAAAATATTTCTTTTGAAAATGAAGTAAATTACTTTCGAAAGTAAACTATTTAAACTATCAAAGTCCAATAATTATTGTTAATGATTACTTAATTTGAATTCACAAAATTCTTTTAAGAATAAACAAATTAACTGCATTCCTATTACTTGCCTTTTTCATCAAAGCATCTTTGAATTTTTGTCTACTTTATTTGTGTCCATGTCCGTTGTCTTTAACACAATATCATTAAATCGGAAAAATCAACGAAGAAAAACTGTATACTACTAATAAGCTTATTTTTAAGGAAGGAAAAAATATTTATCTTTTTTATTTCTTTAAATCTATTCAAGTTAAGGAGGCCTAAGCAATTACTGATAGTGAAATGAAAAAAGTATTTAAGAAAAATAAAAATACCCTTTTTTGCTGGCCTCAGGCTTAGAAAAAATAAAAGGATGTTACTTTTCTCCTGTTTTCCTGAGAATTTTCATTTTGTTTCCTTCGTCATTCGCCACTGTTCTCTGCCTCATCTATCTTTAAATGTTTTTAGAGTTTTTCTGTGTTGTATTGGAAAGATTTTTATGACCGAAAGACTGACAGAACAAATAATTTCTCGCCAAATTTTTCCTCCCACGAAAAGCATTGTTTAGTTTCAAACCTCAGGCTATTTGTACCTTTCTTTCAGCTCTCTTTTGTTTTTTTTTCTTTCTCTGTTCTGTTCAGAAAGGAATTACTTTTTATTGTAGAAGAATTGGGTAAAAATATTAGCGATAGTATTTTTTTTTTATCTTTAAGAGATCAATAAACAACAAATTGGTAAGTTTATATGACTTCTTAGTTAGTAACAAAAACGAACTGTCGTAAAAATATTTCATGACACTTTGTTACAAAGGTAATAAAAAGCCAAACAAAACAGATTTTAGAAATTAATAGAGGGAACTTTTTAAATTTTCAATTTGCTTTTAAGTAGCTTTGTGAAATGTTAATTGTTTTCGAACGAAATCTTCCTGTCTCAGCTTCATTTTAAGAGTTTTAGTTTGTCGTAGCTTTGGGCCACTGTCAACAAGAGTTGACAATTGCTCATATTTTTTAACGGAAAAAATTATAATAAAAATATTTCACAGTCAAATAAATTATCCCAAGAAACTGCAGCGGTAATATCTAAAATTTCATTCACTTCAAAAATATACGAATTGGAAATAACACTCGACTTGTTTCAGGCTCTCAAAATCAGGTGCCTATTTTCAAGATTTGCCAAACGTGAATGAGAAAAAGCAAAAGTGATTTGAAATATAAAATGTTACCAACAAAAGATGAAAAAATAACGGTGAGAAACAAAATTCGAAAAAGCCTGGTGAGAAAAAGACTCGTTGTTAACTTTACATTTTATATTTCAAATAATTTATGTTTCTTCTCATTTACGTTTCGAAAATCTTGAACTGATCAAATATTATTTTGAATTGTATTAGGTGCAACTCGGTAACATGTTACTTATGTTACAAAGTGAAAGAAAAGGTACGGTCGAAACTACCAAAATATGGTAAATTTAACGTGTTTCGGGCTCTATGAGAGCACCAAAAAGCTCGATAATTTTTACCGAAGTGCTTTGATAATGACTTTGGTTAGATTAGCCATAAAGTAAAGCGTTAAAATAATTGATAAAATTTAGCAAATATGGCAAAATTTGGTAATTTTATCATGATTTCTTAGAGCTTGACATAAAAAAAAAACTATTTATTCGGTTGAATTTATTTTTCAGTTTTATTTCTATTCTTTACTAAATGCTTGATAGTAAGAAATATATTTCTGAAAACCAGAATTTCCAGTAAATCGTTGCCATATGAACGGAAATTACCAAAAGAAAGGTTTTTAATTGTATTTCTAATGGTAGATTGAAAGACAACTGTAGACAGAAAAATAAACAATAAAATTGGAACAAGAAACAGAGACAACTGCAACAAAACTGAAACTACAGTAAGTCTATAAATCGGCCATCTTGTGCCGAGCTCTCAAGTATTTCTCCCCCTAGTGTCCCGAGTCCAGTGCAGGGTATTGACCCACAGGGTTCCGTCCACTTTTTCAAGAATGTTGCACAATTGGTAGAAAGGACTTGAAAGAATATTTATAAATGAATGGCTTTTAAGTACCATATATTTATTTTATTTCCAGAACAGAAATGTCATTACCATTCAGTACGGTAATTTAAATAGACTTTTTTTCTCTCTGTATAAGCTAATATTACCCAGATTTGGTTAGGGCTAATACAATGTATAAATTTCCGGAACATATTACGGTAAAATGTACTAGCACCCTACGTGTCCCGTAAAATTCCTTTTTACTGTAAAAGTTTTGTAGTTTTTACTGTAATATTTATTAATTGCAGAGATTTAATAGTAAATATTACAGTAAAAATTACGATACATCAGATTGTTTGTTCCGTAAAATTTTACTGTAAAAAGCA